AATAATTTCTAGCTCAAGAATATGTTGACCACTTTATTCATGTATATCGCTCGGTGGTTAGTGGAAATCAGTACGGCTTGTCGTCAGTTCACTACAACAATCTCTCTGCAGCTGACGGCTCAATATACAATCGAAGGTCTTTGGAAAAAATATGGTTTCAGAAAGTTAATTTTACTAAAAATCGAGAAGCTGTTCTTTGGATACACTCACCGCAACATGTTGTTCTGGACGACGCTCCTCTTGCCGAGGTTAGTCTCTTTTATGGCTTTCTGTTTTTTGAGAATCTAATCCCATAATTTTTGGCTTCTCCTTCTACGGTGAAAAAGCTTATTAGTTTTTGTTCTAGATCAGGTACCACATAGACAACTGTTCAGTAGCAAACAATACAGGTGGATTCTTTCAAACCCATCGTGATCTTTATAAAAGTGTGAATATCTTCAAATGGAACTTTTGGTCAAATACATTTTCTTTCAATCGCAATATGGATATTTCCATCTATCTTCCAGACTTACAGAATATGCTAGCATCATCGTTTCATTCAGTTTTGGTAAACATTTTACTGTTTATTTTCTTTATAATAATTTGGTCTTATTATCTTTAAGTGTGCATTAATTTTTTATGGGTTATTTTCAAACAGTTCTAATAGTTTAAATTCAAAGGCGACTACATTTTTGAGGTTACGGAAAATCGATTTGACCGGAATTCTGGATTCGGTCTCACCCTAAATGGATATTATACCTTTGCAAACATTTCATCAAACAATTTCACTCAGAATATTGCTGTTTCTGAAGGCGGAATCCTTTCACTTATGGGGATGGAAAAACATTTGGTGTGCGAAAGAAATCGCATTTATTCAAATTGGGTAAGGCATTTCAAAACTTTGCTGTATTTTCCTTTCCTTGTTTCAAAATGTATTCCTAAGGGAATCGTCAGCAGCACGGCTATGATGGATAAAAAGGGCATTTAAATGTTTGTATAAGCAGCAAAACTTTTTAATTGAGGTTGACCTTTTTAGGGAACGTGGATGATCAAAGTAGATATAAAGTCTCACTCGCTTCGTGATACTGTGCCAGCTTGGATTCAGTATAATTACATTCAAAGGAACCATTATATACGGAGTGGGGACGACTATGTCGATATGTGGCCCCGTTCTTATGCTATAGGAATTTTTGGGTCTCAGAGAGCTGATATTCACTTCAACCTACTGAAAAATGTACTGATGGATTTTGAGCTCGTTTCCGGTTGTAAGGTCGAAATTTTATTCATTTTTGTTTAAAAAAAACCAATTCTGTTTTTTTTTTAAA